GCCCCATAGAGAGCCCCACCGAAGCCCCCAATGGGACTGTCCGCATGCGTCCCTGAAACACAATTTGGGTATTTTCACACCACCCACTACGGCGTTTCGTGACCCCGTAGAGAGCTCCACCGAAGCCCCTAGTGGGACCGTCCGCATGCGTCTCGGAAGCCCAATTTGTTATTTTCACCCACCCAGTACAACGCTTCGTGGCCCCATAGGGAGCTCCGCCGAAGCCCCCAATGGGACCGTCCGCATGCGTCCCGGAAACCAAATTTGGCACAACCCTCATACGTTTCGTGGCCCCATAGGGAGCTCCACCGAAGTCACCGCTGGGACCGCCCGCATGCGTCCCACACACCAGGTTTTGCAGTTTCTCCCCACCCAGTACGGCGTTTCGCGGCCCCATAGGGAGTTCGCCCGACGGCCCCAGTTCTACCGCCTGCATGCGTTCCCCCCACCCAGTGCAGCGCTTCGTGGCCCCATAGGGAGCTCCACCGAAGAAAATATTTACAATTGCGGTACCCACAACTGCAGATGGTTGGGTCCGTCGCCAGGATAATTTTTGACAGGGGTGGTAGGCTTGCACGCAGCAGACATTTGACAGCCCTCCAACCGTCCCAGGCAAATAGCATTCACATGCTTTGTTGCAGCGGGTGGTAGGCCTGCACACAGCAGGCAATATGCGGGTCCCCTGCCGCCTTCTTCATCAATAACCAAAGGGATGGTAAGGGAGCTCTGGCGTTGCACACATCATCCAACATGCCAGCTCCCCCGCCGTCCCTGCCAAACAACATTGCACAGTGTTCGCAGGGCGTCCGCGCCTGATCCAGATGTTGGTTCAAAGTGCACTTCGTATGGTGAGTTGCCAAGGATTGTAATCGTGTGTTGGCATTGCGTGTAGCAGGCAATATGCTGGCACACCCGCGCACCCCCGCCGTCCCTGTCAAAAAATAAAGCGAAGTGATCGTGGGGCGCCCGCGCTGATCCAGATGTTGGTGCAAAGTGCATTTGAAAGCTTCGTACCCGAGAAGATTCAACCGTATGGGACCCAGCACGGACTGGATGGGACCGTTCACAATCAGCTTGCGGGAGGCCTTAATTGGGGCGATCGCCAAGAACGGCAAAAAAACAGCCCACAACAAGTCCTTGGACCCGTTTGAGTAGCCGCGTCCAGCCGTGGCGACGAGGGGGCCCCAAAGGCCCAGGAAAGGGGGAGGATAAGGAGGAGGGTAGTAAGAGGATTGTTGTTCTTCAGCGGCGCGGGCTCAATGAGTTGATAGCTGCCATCGCTGTGGGTACGACGCAGGCCTCTCATTGCACACTTCTGGCGAGCCCTGTGCCCCCTTGTGGCACCCGTGCCTGGCGCACTCCTTGCAGCATGTGCGCAAGTCGTCGCAGCACCATCGCTCATGGGCCTGTTTCCCCCACCACCACCATAAGTTGGAGGAGGAGGAGGAGGAGGAGGAGGAGGAGGAGGGGGAGGAGGAGGAGGAGGAGGAGGAGGAGGAGGAGGACCCCCTCCTCTTCCTCCTCCAATTTATGGTGGTGGTGGTGGAAAATAGGCACATCCTCCCATCATCTGCCATCCTTGCCCTCGTCGGTTTCTCTGCTTTCTCCTCCCCCGCTCTGCCCCTCCCCCCCCCTGCGCTCAAGTCGGGCCTGTCCCTCTGCAGGAGGAATATTAGAATTATAGCCAGAGTGCAGTATCCCCAAACAAGGTTTTTACACCCACTGCGGTTTCCAAGGTCGATTGCGTGCCCGTCCAGTGCGGGCTGGCATGGCATGTTAGACCATGCCTCCTCCTCCTCCTCCTCCTCCTCCTCCTCCTCCTCCTCCACCTCCTCTTCATCCCGAACGGCATCTCGGAGCCCAGAGTTGCGACGATGTCTCGGGCGAAACGTGCTGCGAGGAAGTCTCAGGCGAACCGGGCCGGACCACCTTGAGCGCGGCGTCTCAGAGCTCCGAGTTGCGGGGGCCTCCTTGGGCCTCCTGGGGCCTCCTGGGGACCTCCTGGGGCTTCCTCCTGGGCCTCCTGTGGCCTCCTGGACCCCGCCTGGGGCTTCCTGAAGCCTCTTGGGGCAACCTGGGGGTGATATCTAACATGTGGCCGTCGGGCCCCCCAAAATGGGGGTGCACAAGAGCAGGAAAAATCAACGAATCGGCACTGGATGTGTATCAACTTGACACGTTCTGATAGGGGGCCTCCTGGGAGCCTCCCGGGAATCTCCCGGGGACCCCTGGGGCTTGTCCTGGGCGTCCTGCGGCCTCCTGAAGCTCTCTGGGGCCTCCTGGGGCTCCCAGGATCCCAGGGGGGATATGTAACATGTGGTCTTCTGGACCTCCAGGCTGGACCACCTCTTGCGCGGCATCTGGGAGCTCAGAGTTGCGAGAATGCCTTGTGCGAAACGGGCCGGACCACCTTGCGCACGGCATCTCAGAGTTCTGAGTTGCGAGGATTTCTCAGGAGAGACGGGCCAGACCACCTCGCGCAGGGCATCTCGGAGCCCAGAGTTGCGAGGACGTCTCCAGCGTAACGGGCTGGACCACGTCGCGCGCGGCATCTCCGAGGTCAGAGTTGTGAGGATGTCTCAAGCGAAATTGGCTGGACCACCTCTTGCGCGGCAGCTCAGAGCTCAGAATTTCGAGGATGTCTCAGGCGAAACGGGCCAGACCACCTCGCGCGCGGCATCTCAGAGCTCAGAGTTTCGACGACGTCTCAGACGAAACGGGCCGGACCACCTCTCGCGCGGCATCTCGGAATGCAAAAGTGCGAGGATGTCTCAAGTGAAACGGGCCAGACCACCTCTTGTGCGGCATCTCGTGGCTCAGAGTTTGGAGGATGTCTCAAGCGAAACGGGCCGGACCACCTCTCGCGCGGCATCAGAGAGCGCAGAGTTGGAAGGATGTCTCAGGCAAAACGGGCCGGACCACCTCGCGCACGGCATATCAGGGCTCAGAGTTTGGAGGATGTCTCAGGCGAAACGGGCCGGACCACCTCTTGCGCTGCATCTCGGAGCCCAGAATTTCGAGGATGTCTCAGGCGAAATGGGCTGGACCACCTCTTGCGCGGCATCTCAGAATTCAGAGTTGCGAGGATGTCTCAGGCGAAACGCGCTGGACCACCTCGCGCACGGCATCTCAGATCTTAGAGTTTGGAGGATGTCTCAGGCGATACGGGCCGGACCACCTCTCGCGCGGCATCTGGGAGCTCAGAGTTTGGAGGATGTCTCATGCGAAACGGGCCCGACCACCTCTCGCGCGGCATCTGGAAGCTCAGAGTTTCGAGGATGTCTCGGTCGAAACTGGCCGGACCACCTCTTGCGCGGCATCTGGGAACTCAGAGTTCGGAGGATGTCTCACGCGAAACGCCCAATCCTGGACAACTCAGAAACGAGAGTTGCGAGGATGTCTCAGGCGAAACGGCCCGGACCACCAAATTTGTTTGAGGACGTCTTTGCTTTGATTTCCCTTGATCCCCCTGTGGGGGAACAGGCCCGACCTAACCCCACGCGGCCCCGACCGCGGATCGTTGGCGGGCGTGGCTTTGGGTGGTTGCCGGGCGTGCGCGCCATAGGCAGCAGCTAATGTCGCGGGGCCCCCAAAAACACCGAAAACCGTGAGAGTGTTTTTTTCTCCCTACCCGACAGGCTGGGCTTGATAGTTTTTCGGTTTCAGAACTCCCGTCTTTCCAACCATACCGCGGTCGCCAGGCCCCACAGGATCCCAGGAATCCCTGAGTATCCTGCCTCGCGTCCTCGACGAACGACGACACCATACCGCAGCCGCCAGACCTCACATGATCCCAGGAGTGCCTGAGTATCCCGCCTCGCGCCCTCGAAGAATGACGACACCCTGTATACCAGACAGCCCCCGAGGGGAGGAATGCGAATGCGAAGTGATTTGCCATGTATTGCGGCCTCGGAGGCGCAGACTCACTCGGTGTAGCTTGCCAGGGATTGTGGCCTCGGGCCCGCGAATCTGTCATGTTGCGCATGTCCCAGGGCTCAGCGCCGAATTCTCAGGAGACGGCAGGGGTCCGAGAGACGCCTCCCGAACACAGGTCCCAACACGGGAAATGCAAGTCGTTCGGCTCTGGAGATCGGTATCGTTTATCCGACCCCCATCCCCATCCCCATCCCCTTCGAGACTCCTACCAAATTACCACCCCAGTTGGGGATACACCCCTCGAAACCCGAAGGGAACGACCTATATCCCCATCTAGGGGGGGCAAATCGGCCAGCGGGGCCCAGGCCACGCCGCTGGGGATGGGGATCGCTCAAACGGTACTCCGGAGAAGGGGTGGCGCTTCTGGGCGGCCTCCGTGGGGTGGGCTCGTGGCCTCGGGAGCGCCTGTCTGAATTGCGTGGTCCTTCACAGGGCTGGACCTAAACGGTGTTTTTGGGGATTTCGTGGGCAGTTTTCGGTTCGACTTCGTTTTGCGGTAAAGGCGGATTGGAGACAAAAGCGAGGGAACACGAAAACAAAGACGAGAACGAAAAACACCGTTGAGGTTCAGCCCTGGTCCTTCACAGAAGCCTCAGGTGGTCCCCAAATTCCCTGCGGCTTTAGGGGGTTTCGTCCAGATGTTGTCGGAGTTGGTCGACACCTGATCTGGACGAACTCTGGTGCAGAGGGGTGGTCGGAATCTGGACGGAATCTGGTCGAAGTCACGATAATGCATGGGCCGCGGAGGTCCACACAGGCTCCCGGGAAGGCTCATCTGGCATCGGCAATGCTTTGCTAAGGGCTGTGACTGGCTGCCCGCGATCCGTCCGTCGGTCGGGGGCGCTGGTGGCCCCCGATGCATACACTGTAGTGGCGTTGCTGCGCATGCTGGCATAGCCGATTCGATCCGATGTCAACGCTGTGCGGATGCAGCCCGATCGATACACATTCCGATCTGAGCTGATTCCCCGATCCCATGCCGACTGATCCTGGACCAGAGGCCACGGCGGACGCGGCTGCGACGCCAGCACCATCCCCGCATCCCCCGCATCCCCTCCTCGCAGGATGTGGAGAGGGCGCACGTCGTCGACCGGCGAGGCTGTCGCCGCCGCAGCAGCCGCTTCGCGAGTCGGGTCTTCCGCGTCTTCCCCTTTCTCCGTCGGAGGGGCTCGACATAGGCATACATCCTCAAAGAAAATGTGCATACACGTACACTTTCGGGGTTCCGCGCGGATTTCTTGGATCTGTTGCATCCCTGCCCAGACTTCTTTGTTCGTTTGATTTATCCTCTGTTTTCTCGTCAGAGCAACAACTCCTGCACGTAGCCGACGCGCGACAGAAGGGCCCGAGAGGCCGAAAGAAAGCGAAGGACGGCACCAAGAACCACAGACAAGCGAGCGGAGGGACACGAACGAAAGAAAAGGGCCACGAAACAGCGAGTGCCCGTAAGCTACAAAGGGATGCTGGGAAAGCCTGGAGGGGTTTTGATTGCCCCAGTCCTGGCTCATCGGAGGTCTTTACCTCACCTCCCCTCAGGCATCCGCTTACACTATTCAAACCCTCATCCCAGGCGGCAGCTGAGCTCTTTCTCTCTTTGCGAGCCTGGGCAGGGGAACGAGGCAAATCAGAGCTGCATGAGGTTTCCCAAGCGCAAGCGGCACGGGTGCTTGCTTCCATTGCGCCTCAATGCTTGGGAAACCTCGCAGTCAGACAGCCTCAAGGACAGTAAGCAGATACAGATGTCGCCCCGTAGAGCGGCACAGAGATCATCCCAGGCCAGCCAAACAAAGAGGCTAGCCTAGCCTCTTCGTTCTTGGCGAGCCTGGGCAAAGTACAACACAAACATGGAACGGCAAGGATGTCACAAGCGCTAGCGGTACGGGAGCTTGCTTCCATTGCGCCTCAATGCTTGCGAAATCCTTGCAGTCAGGCAGCCCCTGTGGGCTCGAGAGGCATTGATTGAAAGAGACGACCCTCGACCCGCAGCAATGAGAGAAGCAGGTTGCCTCTTCGTCGCTTGGCGAGCTTGGGCAAGGGAAATTGCAAGCACTGAAAATACAATGAGAGTCTTACAACATATACAATTCGCAGGTGTCGGTCTCCAAGAGACCTCCCGCATCACGAATGATAAGCACACAATATATCCCATCCCCACCTTGCCAATTCCCATAATAGTCATCGGTCTGCAGCAGCGGATGTAGCAACTATTGTAGGTCGAAGAACCACGAACATCATGCGGCTTGGGGAAAGCATAAATGACGTTGGTACAATCAAGTGCGCACACATCCCCGATCGGGCGCTTAGTGCGTGGATCGCGTCCATCACACATGAGCCTGAGGCGGGATATTGTGCCAGCTGCCCGAGGGGGGCCAGTACAACTCCGGCTTGGGTCCTTGACGTTGCTTCTGGAGTAACGTCCACAGCGGCGGCAATCAATTATGTCCCGCAGCCTTCGGAGGCAGTGCCCACTTTTTGTAAGTGAAAAGCATTGGGGACGCAAGAGGTAGCTCTTAGAAACCGAGCTAGCCCAACAATTCACACATTTTAACCGCCCTACAAGAGGATTGCACGATTACTCACGCATAGCCCCAGCAACATATCCCGACAAAAGGAGGGAGGGGGCAGCTGGGGCCTGCATGCCATTCGAATCGGCAACCACAACCTTATTGGGGACATTCTTTAAATACCATGCGATGCTGTGCCCGATATAATAGCCGAGATATCTGACAAGGGTACCAGATCGTTTAATACGATCCTGCTACACAGTGTCATGGACGTAAATCCGCACCTAGCTTGGCCAATCGCCCTGCCTATCGATGCCCAGCACAGCGCGCGTCACTACCATCGCCCTTGCGTACTTTGGTGGCTCGAGTTGAGTGATAACCTATGTCCGTCGCTAGACGGTGGACCTGGACCCATAGGGGGCCGCGTTTAGCCCATCGATGGGTGGAGGCACGCAGCCGAGGGCCCAAACGTCAACCACGCATTGGCAATCAGTGACGAACTCATATTGGACAGACGGTGCAGCATGGGCGAGGTAAAACAAGGAAGGATAGAGCTCGGCCCCTGGAACGTCCTGAACAGAAGCAGGCAGGACACCATATGCTGCAGCGTTCAACCTAGGAGAGTCGTGGCCGACAGGCTCTCAGAAGGCGTTTCGGCTCCGAGGGGCAAGGAGGCGAACGCCGCATCCACATCGGAGCGTGAGTGGCGACGGCCCAGACATTCCCGAGCCGTCTCCGTGCGCTGGCGACGAGAAAAGGGCCGCCAGCGGCGCGCTCCCAGACAGGGTCGGGGAACGGCGGTGCAGCAGGAAAATTGGAACGCGTGTCAGGAACGAGCTCTGCGGCCCAGACAGGATGATCCTGGCGCTGACCGAGGCAAAGTGCGAGGGCCAGCGCCGGGCCAAACCAACGGCGGAATTCACTGAGGGCACCGCGTTCATACATGGCGTGAAAGAGCTGGGCCCGCTAGGGTCAATTGGCGCGCGGTGCACTTGGGTTTGAAAACAGATACACCCAGCCAGGAAAGCCCCGAGGGTTCGCCGCCTCTGCGCGCCCCCACCTTCGGTCTTCTCGGACAGAAGGGAGAGGGGGGCAGGCGGGGAGGGGGCCCCGACACATGTCCGACTAATGGGTGACGCGCAGAGGCTTGCTTCCACGCCCACGCGCAGGCATCGCGGGTCACTCGGCGTGCCAGGCCACGCGGCGCAGTAGTCGCAATAAGCAAACCCATCCCAAGAGAGTTCTGCCATTGGGGTGGGGCCATGACAGACCGCCCAATCCTGGGCAAGGTGGCAACCAGTATCTGACCTGGCCCCATGCAGGTCTGCACTCGGGGCGCCGCGTGAATCGGCGTCGCGAGCTCGAGAGAAGACTGCATCACGAATGCCCTCGGGTAGCGTGCGGTTCCAACGAGAGACAGCCCGCGCACGCATTACTTCTGCACGGGCGTCCACGGCTGGATCAGTAACACCCTGTAGAGCGAGGTCCATAGTAACAGGTCTGCGCCTGCCTGCGCCTAGCCCTGCATCGCGCGCGGCCCTGATCTTGTGGATCTGGTCAGTGCTCAAACCAACTGCGCCAATGCCATGCGATACAGCGGGGCGCAGGTTCGCATTGACAATGCCAGCCGCCCTAGCACCCCCTTCCTTAAGACGCAATAGACGACGGGCTTTGGCCATGGCCGTTTTTAGCTTGGCATTCAACTGGGCGACTCCGACGCCCCCTGCGCAGCTGACAGTCATCGCCGAGGTTTCGACGCAAGAATTTGACAGCTTCTGGCAGGCGCGGGGTCCCAGCTGCGACATTCCTGGCCAACTGCGGGTCCGAGGCCAGGAGCGCGATTTTCCTATCGGCCAGGGGTAGTCGGGCAGTGAAATTGGACTTGCTCACGAGGAGATGGGGGGCCTCCGCGGCTAGCTTCAGGAGGTCCCTCTCGCTTCCGATCCTCAGGGCCTGAACGTCATCAGCTACCGGGCCCACATGAGGGTTCGGTTAGGCTGCCAAGACAGAATCTAACTCTGGAGCCCGCATAGTGCGCACGAACAGATCCGCAAAAGAGCAACCAGCAACAATGGTCAGCGATACCCGCGCAGACCCAAGCACCGACGATTCGGCGCAAGCATACAACCCCAGGCGATCTGTAGAGAGACAAGAACACACGCAACAAGCCAGGATTGACTCCAACCTGCGCTGCGCGATTGATGAGAAGCTTGCGCCGAACCTGCTCACGCGCCTTCTTAGTGTCCGGCATCAGAGAGACTGACATGCCACGTGCCACTGCGTACTCTGCCAGCACCCTCACGCGCCGCGCGCGTTGCTGACACGCCGCATATGCATGGATGCGGGCGCTGTCGCGCCCAGCGCACGACACGCGCGTGACGAAAGACACTAGTGAAAGTACGCACACCTGCTGTGAACAAGCGCAGCAGTGCGCTCACCACCATCAGACTTCGGAAACAATATCATCATGAATGCCGCCAAGATAAGATGACATCTCCCCAAGCGCAAGACAGCTCTCTATATATGCCAAACAGTGCGGGTCGAGCAGGATCAGAGAGTTTGGAATGGTAGTGGGGGCGCATCCCGCCCAATCCGACAGCCGCGCGTGCTATGTATTTCCGACGCATCTGCCTATAGAGCACCAGCGACGGCTGCGGTAAGGATGCAACATCTGTTTGCTGCGCAGGAGGCGTCGGCAGACCATGGCAAGGACCAGCAGGGGGTCCTTCAATGTGTTCTCAGATACCGCGCCGAAGCTCTTCGCGCGCTTTCAGGCGATGTTCGGGGGCACCGATGGGGACATCGGGGGTCGGTGTAGATGCGGCCTGGAAAACCGCCCGCCCAATCAACGGAGCCCTTCGCGAACTCGCGCGCGGCAGAGCCTCCGCGCTGCGCAGTCGTCATGGCCTTGGAGGTCCAGGATTGATAGCGCTTAGCTGAAGCCGCGCGCCCCAGGGCAACCGCCATCTCAGCCAGAGTATTCCGAAGCCAATCAATAGAGCCAAGGTCAAGGGAACCAAGCCGATTGGCCCAGCAACGCCACGATGGCCAATCAAGGGGGGGGGCCCTCACGCGATGAGGGGCGATATCTGTGCAAACCAGTCGCTGCGCGAGCGAAGGCCTGCCAAGACTGCACCCCTGCAATATGTAAGAGGGCCCCGAGACGGCTCGAGAGATACCTCCAAAGTCTCCTTTCAGAAGAGGTAGCAATGCCACCAGGGAAAAGGCGCGAACCGGTTACTTGAATCAGGATAGAGGCTACGCCCCATTTTTCATAGACCTGTGGATCGGGTGGCCAACTCCGCGGCAGACGTTTTTAGCCAATCCAGCGTGAGACTCTGGAAATCAGATGCTGTCGCCACTTGGTCAGGATCTGGAAATTCATCCCAGGGCGGGGGGCAGGGGGCGCATCCAACGGGCCTCTGAACCGGCATCAGAGGAGGGCGACAAAGCACATATACCATATCATTATGCACATTGCCACGTAGAGTCAGAGCAGCAGATGGGCGCTTGGGTATCAGGGGCGCTTCCCAATTGGCGCGAAGCTGCCGCTGCTAAAACTGGATGCACACCGAAGTAGTCCATCTGCGATCG